TGCAAGTTCATATATAATCTTACAATATATTTTATGAGTGAGTGAGTTCAATAATTTAATGTAAAGCTTTATGTGAAGTACTTTCATTTAAATCTGTTCTGGTATTTTACTTGGATGAGATTTGATTTTGGTATGAAGAATAATGAATATTGCATCTTCTTTAGAGCATTTGTTTATAGACTGTCCTATCTCCTCAATTCTTTGGTTTGGGTTTGGATTTGGGAAGTGGGTGGTATGGGTTAGTATTCTTCTTTTTAAACACAAGAGGCTACTGAGTGTTTAACATTTCTTCTACTTATTAATGTCAAGACAGAAGCAGTCATCCAGTGTCAATGAAGTATTTGAGCAGTGTTAATAAATAAGCTGAAAGGATAGCAGAATACAAAGCATTTAAACACAAAGAAAGGAAAAAACCCTAAAGAGACAATGCTATAAATGTAAACCAAAAAATGCAGTTATTAAAATTCTTAATTAAAAATACTGTAAGGCAAATGTGTATAGATTAGTCAGACTCTAGAGCTCATAAGAGAAGATAAACCACAACAGAAGGGTAGTTACACAAGGAATGTGAACCAAAAAGAAGTCAATGCTCATGCACAACACCACGCACCACATTCTATACTTATGCTTAATCACCATTGGAAGGGTAAAATGAACAGCATTCACTCAAAGCTACACAAGATGAATGATTGTTTTTTGCTTAACTTTTAATTGGTCTAAAAAGAGCAATTCTACTGGAACTTAGACTGGTCCCCCTCACCTCTCCCATGCATCCTGACATCATCTTTACAAGTCATCACACCAAATCACATGAACACCATTCTAAAAACAACCACACAAAAACATTCTATGATAGTGTAAACCTCTTTATTTTTCCATCAATTTAAAAGTCACCCAACCTCCTCCCTCAATAAACAACAATCTGGTTAATAAAGGATAATTTAGTCACTACAGATAAGCAAGAGTAATATTTTTGTACTCCATACAATACAAGAAAAATGGCTACAAAAAAGACTGAGATTGCAAAAAATGCCAGCATTGAGTCAGAAGGTAACTCTCAATTGACATAACTTAGAAGCTGTAGAGATCAACAGAACAGAGACCCATTAAAAGCCTTGATAAACTAGGTCTGAAAAAGTGAAGACAGATACCCTAAGGCAATATAGCATAACACAAAGTAGGCCATTTGTGAAGCGTGCAGTGAAAGGCACAGACTCAACTTCTGCTGCACCTTGCACAGAAAGATGTGTCAGCTTTCCCAGGTGTTTATCATGGAGCCAGCAAAATTGTTTGCAAAGGCTCTGAGAAACAAACAAGGCATAACACATTCTTGACAGGATACCTCTCTGTTAGTTCCAAATGTTTGTAAGGCCATGTACAGGAGCGGTGTTATTCTGAATTTTGCCTCTACAGAATACAAGAAAATAATAAAGGAAATAGAGATAACTTCAGGCAATCTAAGAAGTCTAATCTATAGAAGTAATGTATAAAATATGGTTTTTAAAGTAAAACGGACTGTTAAACATATTTGTCTATTACATGAATTGGCATCTTACAGAAGCAGTGATAAAAAGCTTCCATAATGTAAATCTTGATCTAACACTGAAGGCCAACTGTAAGCAGTTAACATAGATTATTATTTTTTCTTTTTCTATGTTTTATGTTCTTAAATATCCATTTTAATGTAAAAGAAAAAGTTCATTCAACAAGAGGTGATGTTAGATACTAAGAAAGCCTAGTAGGAAACCTAAGTATGTCCTAGCCCTGAATTAAGAGACTGGTGGTGTTTTGTTTTCAAGTGCACATGTAGGTCACACTACATGTGATAAGCTTGGAGGCGAATTCTGTTTGGATCCTCTGGATGTCTCAGGGCCACTCCATGTCGCAGCAGCACCTCAATATAAGGTGGCCAAAATGATTCATTAATTGTTATGTAAGGTTTATGTGGTGTGGTCATTAATGTGTTTATCAGCATCTGGAAGACCAAAAGGGTAAGATTTAGGAAATTACCAAAACAGCTAGATTTTATCTCCTTTAACCAAATTTTTACAAATTACTGTGATGTAGGCAATATAAGATATAAAGGACTATACAGAAGAGATATGAGACCTGTACAAAGTCGAAGTAAAGCAAAGGACTTCCAATTAGCTACATAACATCTTTTTTGACGTAAAAATTAGAACCAGAATATCTCTTTTCTCTTTTATTTTTCCAGAATAAATGTAGATTAAATGCTGTATCTAGATACAGAATTAGTTAATGGAGTTAAAAACAAAATCAGTTTTGTCATTTTGTTTCAGTTCATGGAGATCATATTCATTACCTCACGATACTGCTGATGGGGAGGACTGCACACATTACAGATTAAATAATCTTACCCATCCCATGGTGCTCTTTCTATTTAACCTAGATGTTTAATCTTTCTTCTCAGAGCTTTTAAATGTTATACTGTCCAAATTTCAGTAAGTACAAAATATTTTTTGCCCTTTAGTGCTAAAGTCAAATTCAAAATACTTGCTACCAGATTTTATATTTTTGTATCCAGTGCTGCTAATAAAAGATGCAAATGAATGACTACTCTTATTTTTCAGAACATTCTGAAGAAGAATTGTTCCAGTTAATATATTTTGTACTTCCAATTATGAGAATTTACTCCAAATTCATTACTCCAGACAAATTTTTACTGGTTTTTTTCTGATATCTGATACTCCAAAATAGCTTTCATGGCTATTTTGGCTATGGCTATGGCTGTAACTTATGTGTACCTCAGAAAACATTTTTCACATTTAACATTAGGGTCTTGGGTCGGCTGTTGATATTCTCTGCCCCAAGATGCGTAGGTTGTCTCTGCTTCAGCCGATGCAACTGAAGAATAAGTCTGGACTCTTCACTTTTCAGTCTTGAGGTTGTTTATTATTTCTTATCTATAAACTTTTCTTTCTGCCCAGCCGAGATCTGAACAGCAAGGCAGCCAAAGGCACTCTGATCGCCCCCGAGGCGGTGTTATCTTTTCATACTACAAACTATGTATATCATATTTACTCTTAATTCCCAATACCTATCACCTATGTTAGACAGTGCACCTCTACTCTAAACCAATCCCAAAGTGCCAACATCACTGCAGAAAATGGAGAACAAGAAGAAGAAAGAAGGACTAGACATGCCCTGATTCCTCCATCTTGTCCCCATAACCCCTATACCAAAAATCCTAAAATCTACATTTTCACCCTGTGAATATTTTATTATTATACTATTCAAACCTGTGTGACTTTCACGTCCTCATACAAAGCTGGTAACCCCTTGCTCAAAGGGTCAAAATCAAATCCCCAGGTGTTCTGGGCAGCATGCCAGGGTCTCTGAGCCCCTTGATGGGGTCCTCGGCAACTCTGGACATCCAGAGGGATGTACTGAGTTCCAACAAACAGGGACTTGAAGATAGAACAACATGTCTCAACAAAGGAAAGCCTTCCGGAATACAAAGATAAGGGACATTGACACTTTAGGTCAGGATGCTGAAATTCAAAACGAGTCTGAATTTTTCAAATAGTGTGCTCTTCCAAACAGAAGTCAGATACTACATTAATATGTTCTCATTTTTAGGAGATTAACAATATCAGAAAAATATGAAGGGCAATTTTAAACAATTAGAAGAACTTCAAAATTCTTTTTCCATAAGGACTGTGGCCACTCTGAATTCTGATCTGTTTTCAAGCTCTGCCTAATTTGGCATTAAAAGGTATGCTGAGATATTTGAAGCATGTAAAATGATTTTGATGATGTAAGCCCAAAGCCTGGGCTTTAAACTGTAGGACATAGTGATTAGATAATAGCATCTTAATACCAGCAAATTTTTATACATCACATTTTGCATCAAGAAAAAAATTTTCCTCAGGGACATCTTGCATATAGAACTTAGAACTGTCTAAGGAGGGGGAACAGAAAATTTCACTTCATATTCTACATTTAAGACAAGAAGAAAAATGCTTTGCAATTCACATTCATAAACTGCACTGTAATTAAAAATTCGCACTAAGCAATGCTTCTATACTTATAAAATCAATCAGAAATGCATTAATTGGATTAACTGATTTCCTTGTATGAGTTAATAATCCAGTTAATGCACAAGACTATTGGTCCGAGGCTACATATTTAGTCCTTCTGTTAATGTGTATTTCAGAAATATTTTTCTTGAAACAGTATAAAATAGATCATGAAATGGACTTTTTTTTTTTTTTGTTAAACACAGTATTTGTCTCTCCCAACATGAGCCATTAAGGCACATAAAAAACGTCTTTGAACCAAATATTGTAAAATCAAGAAATAAGAGACAGCCATTCTCCAGCCTAAACTGAACCAGTTAATTATTGCCACACCTCTTGTAATAACGTGGGGTTTACTTTGACAGGAATTAAAATAGAAAACTGACCTAGATTCACATAATAGTTTGGGTTGGAAAGTACTTTAAGATCATCTCATTCCAAGCACCTGCCATGGGCAGGTGCACCTTGCACTAGATCAGATTGCTCCAAACCCCATCCAACCCGGGCTTGATCACTGCCAGGGATGGAGAATCCACAGCTTCTCTGGACAGCCTGTTCCACTGCCTCACCACCCTCACAGTAAAGAATTTATTCTTGAAAGCTAATCTAAATATCTATTCTTGTAATTTAAAACTATTCCCCCATGCAAAAAGTTGCTCTGCATCTTTTTATAAGCCCCCTTTTAGAACCAGAAGGCCACAATGAGGTCTCCCTGCACTCTTCTTGTAGACACAACATTCTTTATCATTCTAGATTAACTGTCTTAACTAAATACCACATACTGTTATTTATATTAGTAATAAACACTTTATCATCATCACCACCATCACTATCACTACACCTGAATATTTAAAAATTCCTCAAATCTCTACATAGTGAAAACATCTTACCTCTAAAATTTCTTGCAATGTTATCAGTTGTACAGCTGGCTCTGCCGAAGAGTTCTGGAAAGATAAACATTCCCCAGCCAAATTAACAAACCCCCAAACCAGTTAAGAAAAATTTTAATTGACAAAGTAAAATAATTACACAATTATTTGATTTCATAGTACACAAAAGATGAAAACTTTTAGTCAGATTTAAATCTACCAGTTCAAAATCCTACACTTCAAATGTAACATTTTTTGAATTATCAAGAGAGATTTATCTAAAGTGATCATAATGTTTTCATCTGTGTTTACATTTAAATAAAACCAAGTACATCAAATTTATAATGTAGTGCAGAATTTGTTCTGTGAAGAAATTTGTTGGAGGAAAAAAAATTTTTCATGAGCTTTAAATAAATGTTTATAATAGAAATTTGACACAACTCAAGACTTAATTTCATACTGCCTCAATATTTTTTTTCATAATTTGACAATGAATACTTACTTGCTTTGAATTTGACTAAGACATTTATCTTATCAAGGCTGAGAAATAGAATAATTAAAAATTTTGGTGGAATAAAAGGCAATGATAAAATACCACTAAAAGATTACTTCTTTTCCTTTGTAGCAAGCAAATCAAGCCATTTGTCTATAGAGATTCCTTTGGCAGCAATGTCAATGGATCTGCGTGTACTGTTGCACGGTAAACCTGATTCTTTAATTTTCCAGTTTTATTCTTTTCCCCCATGCACTTCAGTTTCAACAAAGTAAAGGAGATAATATTCCACTGGCTTTCTCAGCATTGCTGTTGAATGCATGAATTTAAGACCCAAGATATTACCAGCTGTGCAGCACCTTATACAAATTTCACTTCTGGAACAGAGGAAGAATACAAGCAAGAAAGAAGAATATTCTGAAAGGCAAGTTCTGGATCCTTCTTCCCAGTCGCAGTTTGTAATAGTCTCACGTGCAGACAGTCAGAAGTTTCAGTTTCCAGGGAGAGCCTGTTCCATGGAAGCTCTGCAAATCCTGATGCTCTGACCCAATAACATCTATCTATATGCCCTTATCTCAATTTCTGGCTGAGGAAATAGAATTGACATTACCTATCGGCCAAAAGTTCCTTAGAGCAAACGTGAAACTTCACAACCTTTACTGATATATTTCCCTGGTCAAAATTACAACTAATACAATTAAGGACTGCTAATCACTTAATGCTTATAAAGTCGTTAAGCAGGATGCTCAGCATTTCATTATTTAGCCTGAAAGGCACCTTCTTCACCCTTCCTATCAGACAGATTTGCATAAAGAATATTCCTCAGCCTCTGATTTTTCGTATTATTATCTTGAAAAAAATTAAGTAGATTTTTATGCTAGATTTAAAATGCAAGATCATTGTTACTACAGTCACTACCTATATTAAAGGTGTTGGGCCATGGCAATGGAAGCCAACATGAGCTGTTATGATGCAGTCTTCACTCCCATTCCCACTCCCAATCCCACATGCATGTCGCCAGATGAAAGGAGGGTGGAACCAGACCAGTGAGGCTTGGAGCAGTTCAAACTATATTGAAGCCATGTCCTACAGACATCAACCCTGCACATCTGCCCTCACACAGAACCACTGTGAACATAACATCCTTCCACAAAGTGAAGCAAAATTGCTGATGTGCAGAGTTTGGTGCTGCTAGACTGCTGAACCAAGCTGATAGGAGAAGTGAATAATGTGTTCTTGTGAACCAACGTAACAGCTAATTTCATTGCTAATTCATTTCAGTGATTACAATTTGTATTTCTTGCACTCAATAAATGTAGGCAAAAATGGCTTGCTGTCCTGCCTTCCCAGTCAATTACTTAGATGTAGATTAAGAGGTACCTGTAGTTAAGCCAAGTGATCCAAGTGAGTCAAAAGGTATAGAAAAGCTATGAATTCACAAAGAGTGAAAAGAAAGAAAAAGACTGTCAGAAAACAGACTCTGTTTAAGAGTTCAGGAAATGTATAAATAAAATTTAAGCTAAGAAAAGATAAAACCTTGTGTTGAAATTAATCAAAGTAGTTTTTTTGTTTAAGTAAAGTGATAGGTAACAGCCAACATGGTTTCACTATAGACCATTTACACCCAACAAATTTAGTGGCCTTCTACAAGGGTTACAGTATTAGTGGAAAAGGAAGAACAACTGATGGCATCTACCTGGACTTTTACAAATCATTTGACACTGTCCCACATTCAACTGTTTCTAAAACAGAGAGACTTAGACCAAAATATGGCACATTTACTAACAACAGGAAAGGAAAGCATTGGTATGAAGGAAAACTAAGATTCAACAAAATAAGATATTTGAATAATACTTTGAAAATGAACACCATGTCTTGACAAATCCACTGGTATTTTTATATGCAAAATATGTGCTTATGTGCAAAACATTTTTTTAATTAAAAGATCAGGATTCATTAGCTGCAAATTACAGACAGAAAAGACAAGGGTGTACTTTGTTGCTTTGGTGATGGGTGTGAGCTAGTACTTTTGTTTATAGTATTGTTTCTTAGCAGGTTGTAAAAAAGATGAATCCAAGTGAAAACAAACAGACAATGGTGATTACCAGGATAAGCTAGAGAATTGAAAAATATTATCTTGCAGGAGAACATAAAGGTGTTCCTAGTTCAATTAGCAAAACAAAGAAAGAAGGATATGAGATTGCTGCTGTAAATATATCAGGAGGAATAAACACAAGAAAGAAAAAGAGCTATTCAGAGGTGCTAGAAGAAAAAACACAGGAGAAACAGTAGTAAAAAAATTATTTGTCCTAAAATGGAGCTCAATGATAATATTGAAGAAATTTTTATATTATGTAGTTTCCCAAAATAATAGGGAACTGGATTAAAGAAATAATTTCAGCTTCTGTAATGTTAAGTGTTCCTGAAATCAAAATCAAACCCTGCCTTTTTTCATAGCTTTTTTTAATCTATCAATACTAATGGTAATAGTTTTATTTTTACTGCACACTTTGAATTTATTATGCAAAATACTCCCTGGCTGCCTATTCTCCCTGAGGTTTTACGATAATTTTTGACCCAGTTTGCCTGAACAAAATCTGATAGCTAACATTCCAAACTACTCTGTAATTATAAACACTTTTCCTTATTGTTCCAAAAACATTGTTAAACAATTAAAATTTGCTTTGCCAAGGAAAATAGGAATCTACTTGCCCAGTCAAGTAAAAAAAAAAAAAAAAAAGAGTAAATTTGGACTGAACCTCACACCATTTCCAAATGTGGCATAGCTTGCAGTTCAGTAAGAAATACAATATATGGCTATGCATCTCATTGGGTAAGGGATATATGCATTAAGAAAAGAAAATACCCAGCTGGAAACAGCCTTAAATAATATAAAATAACCTGAAAAATATAAATTAAAGCTAGCGGATCAGCTGTAAAAATTATGCTTATTTCAAATACAACTGCAGGTTCAATGGTAGAGACTTCAAACAGGTACTACATCTAATTAAATATAAACTCAACATTTCAAATTTAATAGGTAAAGAAAAGTCTTACCTTTTTTTCAGTATTTTCATCTTCCTCTGGAAGGGGAAAATGTTTATCCAGAAATTCACCCAAAGCACTCAAGAGTTCTTTCTTATAGGTTTCTATTTTCAGTAGTTTATTTTTCAGCCCATTGAGTTCTCTAGTTTTCAAACTAACAGTAAAAACACAGCAACAAAACAAGGGATCAAATAAAGTAACTAAAAAATCCCTCCTAATTAAAAAAACCCCTTATTATCTATTGTTAGAAATTCATCATATTTAATCAAAGGATATAGTAGCATTACTTTCATGTTTCAAATATGGATTACTGAGCAATTATCTGATCCATTAAATAAAACAAAGAATAAATTTTAAGAGTTTGCTTGCTCATTTGCTCCTGTTGATATTTAAATTCTTGAATTTGTAACTCAAAAATGTAGAAATACCTTTTTGTGGAAGGATGTTCAACTTCGGTATTTGCCTCTTCTTCCATTTTATTAAGAGTCTCTAGTATCTGTTTCTGTTCCTCATTCCACTGCTGCTCTCTTTGAAACATGAAAGGTAGGAAATGGCACAACAGATAAACAGTTTCCCTGGGCAGTCAAAAAAAGAAGAAAGCTCACAGCATTCCAAAGTCCAAATTACTGTATTACCTTTTCAGATCTTCTTCCAGTCGTTTATTCTTTAACCGAAGTGTTGACAGCACCGTTTCAAGATCATTTTTTACTTTCTGCAACTATAAAAGAATAGAAATTAAACTGTTTTCAGGTAGCCCAGACTGTAGTATTTGTTCTATGTAAGGCTACATTTGTAAATCTGATAAAAGGGAAGAAAATCATCTGCAATTCCTTAGTAAACATTAAAATCCAGTTTAAAATGCAGGAGCTATTGAAAATGTCACTGTGACCAGTTGCTCATTAGTGTCTTCTTGAAGCTCACAGAGCTTAACAAAATACTTAATTTTACCTGAAGTACACACATGAACTGCTCAGCGAATGAATGGCTGAGGAGAAAATGTCTACAGCAACAGGGCTCTATTGTCTAAACTACTGCAGCTGCTGGCAAGAATGAATCCATGCTACTTGCACCACATAAAATGTACAGAAAATGAAGATGCATCAAAGAAAGACTAACTGCATCCATTAATTAAATGATCCCCAGTGCTATGACATATCTGGGACAGGAAATACAGAGAAACAAAACTACTATAGTCAGAAGCTATAGGCATTGCTGAATCTAGGGAACAGTGGACTTTCAGTGGGCTGGGTCTTCCATTATAGAAATCACAGAATAGGTAAGGTTGTATTGAGGAACACATTCAGTGCAGGTGGCTCAGGGTGCAGCTGCAGCAGAGCTGCAGGCTGAGCTCTGGGCTGAGCTCTGGCAAGAGCCCCAGGCAAGAGGCCGTGAACTGCTGGCTCTGTAGAGCAGGGGGCCTGGGGGCCTGTGGCCCTGCCAGGGGAAGGGACATGGAGACACAGCAGAAGCTGATGACATCTGGATTTTTCTGTGTTTACACTACACTGTGAGGGCATAAAGCCTTTTGGCTTTGAGGGTATAAAATTCCTTTGTTCTGGGTCCTTCTTCAAAGGCACCCAGCTCAAGCTGTTATTCTGTTATTATGCCATGATTAAATTATTTTAAGGATCAGGATGTGTGAGCCTAGGGGAAGAAGGAAACCTAGGATTGAGCTGGTAAGGACACCTGATCTGTGTGAGTGTGGGTAGCTGTGAATGGGCTTAGTAACTGACACCGCGGCTCCTGGACTGTTGAAGTTTCCTTAACCATTGTGACAGGCCACAGTGGGTCATGTGGACCAACCTCCCTGGTCAGGCAGGCGTCATCCAAGAGCACATGGCACAGGTTGCATCCAGACAGTTCTTGACAAACTCCAGCAAGGGAGACTACACAATCTCTCTGGGCAATCTGTTCCAGTGCACAGTAAAGAAGCTCTTCCTTGTGTTCTTGTGCATCCCATGGCCTCTTGTCCTACTGCTTGGCATCAATGAGAAGAGCCTGGCTTTATTCTCTTCAGACACTTGTATAAATTTATGAGATCCCCTGTTACAGCACTATGGTCTTGTACAAAATAATCTTTCTTATATAAGCCTATGATTTGGATGTATTTTTTCTGCTTCCATACAAAATAAGAGCACCTAGGAATTTAGCTCAAAGAAATATACATTCTGAAAATATGCTACAGAAACAAATATGCTCGATATATATAAGACCTGGAAAAAACCCTGTAATCCTCAAATACCAGATCAACATGGCAATCAAAGTGTGTAATCTAACAACTTTTTGATAGTGACTCTTAACAGCAGTCAGATTTGCTGTTGTGAGTGATACTAGAAGCATTAGACCCAGGAATATTTTCAAGTCACACAGCATTCCTATGTGCCATCGATATAGTATAATGTTATCCACAAGACATCATTGATTTGCTCTTTCTTCCAATGGAGGAACTCAACAAAATATTTGCAAATTATTGCCACAGAACTCAATGTCTAAGATAACTGACTCTTCCATGTAACACATAATATTACATCATTTTCTATTAAGTATGAAATGCAATGTATTATAACATTTTGTTTAAAAAAACACACAAATATCTTAAAGGCAGGTGTCTTTTCCATGGTACAAAGTGATAGCACAAGGAGCAAGAGGCCCAAACTCAAATATAGGAATTTCCATCTGAAAATTTAAAAGCAGAATTTCATTATCTTCTTGAAGCTAGGAAAAACTGCTTTACTGGAGGGTGACTGAGCACTGGAACAGGCTGCCCAGAGAGGCTGTGGAGTGTCCTTCTTTGAAGATATTCAAAAGCCACCTGGACACAATCCTGTGAGGCACTTAGGGGCAGGGTTTAATGGTGGATTTGGATGGTGGGACTCAATCATCTTAGAGGCCTATTCCAATCTAAACTATCCTATGATTCTATCTCCAGAGGTCCCTTCTAACTCCAGCCATTCTGTGACAGATTAGCAATTAAAATTCAGCCACAGATAGATTAGCAATTAAAATTCAGCCACAGACCACTTGAAGACACAAATTCTGAGTGGACCTTCTTGCCCTTGAGCCATGTTAACTGAAAGTAATCTTGAAAAGTACAGTGTGTTGGCTTCAGGCCTAGAAATGGACGCTGCTGCACAATGTTACAGATGATGGTTAAGTCTTTGCAAGGCATGGTCATCAGTCAAGATTTCTGTCTCCTGGTAGCATCCAGCACAATGGGACTCCAATCCTAAGTGAGGCCTTGGAGCATTAATGTAGCAGAGATGTCGATTGTCACATCATTTTCATTGCACACAGATAAGTTTGCTGAGCTACTGTGATTAGATGGTGTGTCCAGAGGCAAAATACTGTTTATTGTGCACTACTCAGTTACTTGTGCAGTAAGTCAGTTTAAAACCTCACTCATTACAACTAGGAAATTTTACTAGTTATACTAGAGGGGGAAAAAAGCTTTAGAACAACATAAATGGCTGAAGGAAAATACACAGCATTTTAGCACCCTAGGAACAGTCATAGGAAAATGCAGCAATTGCATGTATTGGTTTTTTTTTCCCAACACAATTTTATTAGACTTACCTCTTCTTTTCCCAGTTCTAATAGTACATCTGGATTGGTAGAAATTACTGAAAAATAAAATGAATTGTTTATTTTTTCCATTGGATGATAAAGATTTATTTATACTGAAAAGCAGCTTGGCTAGAGAGAAATTTGTGCAGCTTCTGAAAAACAGTTTGGCTCTCAGTAGGAGTTTAACCACATGCTGTGGTCTCCTGCCGGGCTAACCTACTATCACTATTCAGCAAATTAAATTAGACTGAAAAAAGTGCAGTGTTAATGCTTGTGTGTTATTTTTATACCTGAACTGGCTGCAAATACATTGGTGAGGGTGCATAATGAATAAATAGCGTATGTCTATACATTTCAAGACAATCAAGCCTGATTTTTTCAGCTGAAGGCATTCCATCAACATTACCAATGTGGGCAATCAAATTCTTCCAGTCCTCCAATTCCTTGTTAAATAGCCTCCTAGATGCTTGATCAGGACTATAGAACCTAGTTTTAATAACTTCAGAAGCATGTCACCATCCTTACTGTTCACAAAAACAGTAGGGAGATGAATGACCCAGCAAGGCCACTACCCAAACTCAAAACACTGAGCAACAGCAATATCTAAGTGAAACCAAAGTACAATTCAAGAAGATGAAAATTTTTCTCCAGAATGCTTCTACAAAATGCAGTGATTTATTACTCATGCATTTTCAGAATAAAAAGTTAAATTCTTGTTTTTTTACAGTGCTCAACAAACTCCAGTCAATTCTCAGATCCATGTCAACTTGCAGCTTGTGCATAAACATATGACTTTTTTGAACTATTTCAATTCATTCAATACAATGAATGATGTTTCATTCTCAACAGAAGAAATGAAAGCTATTCTAACAGATTAAAATCCTTATAGGCAGATTTTTTGGTGGAAGTTTGGGCTTGAAATCTTTAATTTTACAAACAATTACTTAAATAAAAATTCCTTAATCAAAAAGGAAATCCTTAACCCTCTCATGACAGCATTAAACATCTCCTAAATACACACAGTCCATTTAATAAATTCAGAAAAGTACTTTCTTTGGCAATGTTATAGTACTTACCTGAAAAATTTTAAGGAGCTTAAGATTAGTAGTTTTAAAAGCACTGTTTTTTCTGAGATGAAAATCAGAAAAACTACTGAAGCATCAAAAAATGCATTAAATTCTTCAATAAAACTCCTTTCAGTTCCAAAAAAATTGGAAAATTGCTGTTTCTAAATCTTGACACAAAATTTAAGTACTCTGCTCCCACTTAAGAGCTGCAGGAGACAGTGGTCTGTGTTTTATCAGAGTAAGATTTCTTTATAGTATATGAATATAATACCTACATGTGATAAAATTAATTGGTGAGCTTTTATTCACATTCACTAGTATATTTGAAAAAAACCCATCCAATTCTTCCTCCTGCCACTTCCTGCTGACATGATCTTTATAAGCCTTCCCTTACCAAATATCACCATTTTTTACAACTGCCTCATAACGCTTCTAGATACCTGATCCTGAGTTCATGCTTGTCATTCACTGTTCATATTGTGCGAGTATCAGAATAGAAGGCCCTGTGTTCCTGGGAAAGAAATCACTAGCCATAATTTAGTGAAGGAACAATGCAGATCTAAAACACTGGGACAACACACTTATGCCAGCTGCTGCTGTAAATTCACTGCTTGCCCAATCCACAATCAATTAAATCTTTTTCAGTTTTGTTGAATCACTGCACTTGCAAAAAATCAAATGTTAGAGAGAATTGCCTAGTGATACACAGTACAATTACTAAGAAAAATACTACCAGATGCTAGGAATGTAAAAGCAACTACTATGCACATGTTTATACAGAAACTCATATTAAAATAGAACAAAAAGGTATTTGGCAGAATACTGCTATTTTGCAAAGAAAAACGGAATTTATGCAGAGACCACAACTGTTTGAAATGGTTTAAAATATGGTTGCTTTCACTTCCTGATTTTGCAAAGGTAAAAGTTAAATTTTATTTTTATAAGCCAAAAGCTTTTTTAGAAGTTTTAATTCAGCTGATTTAGCAGATCTAGAGCTACATAAATAATACCAGAAATTGAGAAAGAAAAAGACATTAAAGCAAAAGCTTTGCAAAAATAAAATTTGCATTGTGAATTCAAGTCTGTTTGCCAATATTGTGCTCAAAAAAAATGCAGAACTGCCAAGCTATAACCTCTGAAAATAAGGTTTAAGACTGAAATGCTGACAGGTCCTCATTTACAGGAAATGAACTGGCCACTACTAAAAGCTAAAACCAAAGTTACAAGACAGCCTGACATTCATGCTCTATTAGTTAATTGTATTAAATAAGTATTTCTGCTGTTTTTATTTAGATATAATCAGATAATGTTTTCAATTAAGTAATTCCTCCTTTAAAACAAATAATAGGTAGAAAGGAGCCAAGACAGAGAAGTAAGCAAAGGGGACTCCTCATTTCCATAAAAGCACCATAACTCTATTCAAATTCTTAGCAGACAGGGAGCCAAAAAAGGCAGAGATCTGGTTGTAAAGTACTAATTATAGACAATTCTCTATTAAAAAATTAGGATTTCTAATAAGAAATATTATCATCTGGGAAGAAGTAAGAATGGTTGAACAAAGCAAGTCAGCAAGCCAAAAAAATAGGCCAAGGATATTTTTAAGCCAATAGCTTGAAGTTTAATATACATATTTTAGTATGGAAATCTAACAGCCTCGGGTATTTTACCCAGCTAAAAACTAAGTTCTTTCAATTAATTTGCTTTAAGCCCACAACTTATTCATGAACAGCAGCCAGGAACCAGTATGTTCCAAATTCATTCAATGACATACCTTTGGTCTACATACCTCAGTAGCACTGGAGGCTGACAGTTCTTGGAGTGAGGCTTACAACACAGAACTATGAATTTATTCTAATACAGCAACAGTATCTCTTTATACAAAAAAAAAAAAATCCTAGCTTCTCTTATTTAGTGATGAGATGCAGCAAATACGTAGACTTTGAAAAAAGTTGGCTAACTGCTTCTTATGTTGATCTGAAAAGGCATTTCCATTTGGCTAAATGACAAAACATTGGAAATCACCACATGCTGTCTATAAGACATTCCTATAATTTTGCAAATATTATAGAACCAAGCCTTTACTGACATAAAAATATTCAATTGAGTCAATATATTAATTTAAAGATTAACTAGAAGTTTTACTGGATTGAAAGGTGGTAACAGGTCCTTGACAGGAGACATCACCATGAGTACTACCAGAATATTAATGATAGTGTAGTGTGAACTGTTTCAGGAAAGTCCATATGGGGCATCTGGAAACAAAGATTACTTTAGTCACACTTAGATCCTGAATGCTTTTATTTCCAGTGTCTGGCCACATCAGCCTTGCAAGAGGGTAAAATTTATCAGCAGTGGTGCTTATGTACAAAGAGAACTTTGAAGAACTGAGGAATTGATACCTTTTGACTGATAATGCCTAACAAATATAAGAACTACCACTAGTCTCAGTGGTTAGTGCTTCTCAGAATCAGTAAGTGTTCTGGATTCCTGCATTTTTCAAAAATTCTAGTTGCTCTTACCACTTTATCTTGACTTGAAATCTCCAATCCCTGTTAAGTCAAAATAGGTATTTCACTACAGTGTAAAGGGCCTAGCACTAAAGGTCTATTTTAAAGTTTCAACTTTAAAGTCACATCATAATACTACACACCTTTAACCAGAAAAACAATCGGAAGATGTATGATTAATGTATCAGCTTCTTAAAAGACAAAATTATTTGCCAAAATATTTCTGTTCTGAAAACTAAATACAAATAAAAGATAGGGAAAAAACAATCACTCAGAAAAGAATATGAAGGAGGGTAACAGGATAATTAACTTTTTTTATTTGGTTAGGAGATCTGCTAATAGTTGTTTTTCCATTTAATTGACTGATGAATTGTGACATGAATCATGCACTTATTTGTCCAGAATCATAGGATTAAGTTTTAGTGGAATTCACTTTTAATTTCAAGTTGACTTAGAACTTTTTAAAGTAGCATTATTTTAATTTTTAAGTAGTTACGGAATGGAAATACAATCAGCAGACATTCAATATACTCAAGGCCTAGATGAAAGAAACTTTGCAGAAGGTTATACAGACATTCTTTGCAAGGAAACAGTTACTCACATTCAGGATTTCTTGCTTGCTGCTGACGAACATCTACTGTTAAAGCTTTCCATCGCAGCATTAACAAGGAAAGCTGTGTAACAAGAAAAGAAGGATCTCTTGAAGTGTGTTGAGTTGCATTGGCATAAAATGAGGTGGAACAGGATAGAAATCGAATTGTTAAGTTAATACAGCAGAAAACAAAAGAGCATCTATTACAATAGAACACTAGTTTCTTCAAAATATTTTACAGTAATTCACAGGGATCATGGAACGTTTGTATTATTTTTTCAAAAGGGGGAAATGAGAAGCAGTCAGAATTGGCAGAGTTGTGAAGGCCCTTCAGAGGAAGGTTCATGCAGGTAAAGAAATACTTTCTAATGTCATTTCTGATCCACCCTTTGCATCTCTTTGAACCATTCCCACACATAATATCACTGGATATCAGGGAGAAGATGTCAGCATCTCCATCTCCACTTCCCTGAGGAAGACGTAGAACGTAATCAGAAAAAACCCCTCAGCTCCTTCTCTACAAAGTAGAGAAGCCCAGAGTCCCCAGCAGTTCCTCACAGGACAGGCCTTCCAGCCTCTCACCAGCTTTGTTGCCCTCCTCTGGATGCACTCAAGGACCTTCACAACCTTCTTAAACTGTAGGGCACAGAACTGCACTGAGCCCTGCAGGTGAGGCTGCACAGCCCTGAACACAGGGACAGTCCCCTCCCCTGTGGCCGGCAGTGCCACACTCCCGGGGTGCCGTGTGCCCTCCGGGCTGCCAGGGCCCTTCCTGTGGGCTCTGTCCCCTCTCCTGTGGCCGGCAGGCCGCGCTCCAGGCTCCCGGGGTGCCGTGTGCCCTCCGGGCTGCCAGGGCACGCCGTGGGCTCGCCCTGAGCCGCTGTCAGCCGGCGCCCTCAGAGCCCTTCCTGCAGGGCTGCCCAACAGCCCCTCCTCTCCCGCTGGCTTGCTGGTATTAGATGTCAGGCCACTGAGGACTGCCCAATGCTCTAAGCCAGCTCCATCCCTCTGCAAGGCCTCTGGTCCCTCCAGAGTGCCAACCATCGTCCAGTTTGGAGTCATCAGCCAGTGTGCTCACGGTGCATTCCAGCCTTCATCCAGGTCACTGATAAACACGTGGAACAGAGCTGAGCTGCACCCTGAGGAGCATCGCTGGTGGCTGGTGACCAGCCAGATACAGCCCCATCACTGCACCCCACTGAGCTCCATGCTTCAGACAGGTCTTTACCCAGCACACTGCGAACCTGCTCATCCCACACTGCAGTCCCCAAGGATACTGCAAGGGATAGCACATTGATGACATTTAACAAGAAGAAATTACATATGCACTGATTAGGAAAAAGTCCAAACAAGTATTAAGTTACACCCCCTTCTCCTCCCATTTTGCTGCCAATGTTAGTCATTTATTGGTTGCATTTTTCAAACTTAGTAAGAGAAAACCTGTCCTGATCTTGATTCCTGAAGCTTCAGTTATATTTCCTCTCCCCTGTCCAGATGAAGAGGGGAGTGATGAACAGCTAAGATGGCCAGATAGGATTAAACCTGAAAAGTCATGGCAGTCTGGTGAAGATCCCACCAACTAGAAAAGGAGACACACAACCCATATTATTAAGAAGACAAAAACAAGTATCTGTAAACTACAGATTGATCAGTCTTGCCTCTGTGCCCAGCAAGACCAAGGAGCATATCCTCCTTTAAATTATGCTAAGGCGTGTGGAAAATTAAGAGGCAATTGTTGTTAAGCAACATGAATTTAAGGGCAAATCACACCTGACAAACTGGGTGGCTTCCTATAACAGGATTAGGGCATTGGTGCATAAGGTAAGAGCAATTGATGTCATTTATTTGGGAGCTGTGCAAAGCATTTGACACTGTTTGGAACAACATGCTTGTCACTAAACTCACGAGACACAGATGTGACAGACTGCTCAGTGGGTAAGGAATTGGCTGGATGGTGACACTCAGGTAGAGTCAACAGTTCAGCATTCAGGTGAAGATCCGTGATGAGGTGGCATTGCATAGGCCACGTTTCTGAGACAGGCACTATGTAACATCTTTGTCAGGGACATGGACAGGGGGATCAAGGGCACCCTCAGCAAGTCACTGACAGCACCAGGCTGTGTGGGACAACTGACACACTGCCAGGAAGGGATGGCATCCAGAAGGACCTGGACAGGCTTGAGAGCTGCACTAGTATGAAACTTATGAATTTTAACAAGACCAAGCACAACGTTCTATGCCTGGGTCGGGGCAACCAACCCCCAGTATCAATACAGGCTGAGTGAGAGCAGCCCTGCGCAGAAAGATCTGGGAATCTTGCTGGATGAGAAGTTGGACACATGCACTTGCAGTCCAGAAAGCCAATCATAACCCTGCATCAAATACAGCATGGCCAGCAGGTAGGTCAGGGAAGGGGATTCTGCCCCTCCACTCTGCTCTGGTAAGACCCCACCTTGAGTGCTGCCTCCAGCTCTGGGGTTCCCAATATAAGAAGGATGTGAACTTGCTCAAGTAAGTCTGGAGGAGAACCACAAAGATGATTGGAGGGCTGGAATACCTCTCCTATAAAGACAGGTGAGGGGAGTTGAGTTTGTTCAGCCTGGAGAAGGCTCCAGGGAAACACCATAGGATGTTCCAGTACCTGAATGGGGCCTAAAAGAAAGAAGAGAGACTGTTCACAAGTGCATGTAGTGATAGGGCACGGGGAAATGGCCTTAAGATGATAGAGGGCAGGTTTAGATTAGATACTGGGAAGAAATTCTTTATTGCGTAAGCACAGAGACACTGCAACTGGTTGCCCAGAAAAGCTGCAGACGCCCCATCCCTAAAAGGGTTCAAGGCCAGGCTGGAAAGGGGCTTAAAGCAACCTAATTTAGTTGAAGGTGTCTCTGCCTATGCCTGGATTAGAACTGGATGATCTTTAAGGGCTTTTCTAAGGCAGGCCATTCTCTGATTCTACGGTCTTAGCAGAAAATGGAGCATTTTTAAAAACCCACTGTCTTACCTTGGTATCTGATGGTGGCAGTGTCTCTGTTCCCTGAAGCATTAGCTTGCTCTGACCCTTGGTAGAAACAAAAAGAAATAAAACACAAAGAAAGTTGTTTACTCTTCTCTTTTGTAAGAACAAAATGCAATTCTTAGAAATTTAAACACAACTTTTAAAATATAGAAATAAATGAATTTTAACTTGGATCCTTCCACATCCCCTATACCCTAACCCAGAAGGGCAACTTAAGAAAAGTTTTGAAATCACAGCACAGTAAAGTAACAATTAACTCTGAAGGAGAGAAGTAGCACCTAAAGAAAGATGTATTCTTTGAGTAAAAAGGCAAGTTATAAGGGAAAAGTTCATATGGGGAAAGGCATTGAACAGATGAAGAACATCAGAAACTGAGAAGAGAGTCATGGACAAGGCTGAACAGTATTCCCTAAGAACTGACAGAAATTTATCTTTTCTGGGAATCCAGAAAATAAAAATAACCACCCCTAAACTGTTATTTGTTAACATATTGTGCTATGTACGAGAAAAGTTCTAACCATGACAATGTAACTGTGAGTTTGCAAGGGAGTAAGCATAGGGAGACATCACTGTCCTCCTCTGCCTCTCATCCTATTCTCTCTCTCCTCTAAGACCCAAAGGACGTGTGAAATGGAATACCACCTTTTGTGAGGCTAAAGAGAGAAGGGTCTCTGTATGCTGGTACTACCGCAACACAAATAGATTCCTTCATTTTCCATAATTTTAATATACAGTCCCACACTAAATAAATAGTAACATCAGCACATTGACTTCACAAAGCATTCTCCACCCCTCCAAGCACTTCTACATTTGACCTATCTGAAGATACTATTTCTTTTTTTTTTTCTATTTGTTTGTTTCTGATTTTTTGCTTGTGTGGGTTTTTTGATTGGTTGCTTGGTTTGGTTTTATCAGAGTGGTTTCTTTGGAGAGGGTGGGGTAAGCATGTGGTGAATAAAGTAATTCTGAAAAAGCACTACAATAAACCTTGTCTATCATTGATATTTGCATACCTCTTCAATCTGCTTCCAAATACTATCACATTCATCCAGGAGTTCTTCCTTGGCTTCGACAGGACCAGCTGTGTTACTGATTTCTGATGCACACTCAGCCTATTAACAAGCAAAGTAAACATGTTATCATGTAGATCTACAATAACTGATTACTTAATCATCCTTGCCATTTCAGATCAACTATGCAACAGAAAAAAACTCCCTTAATCCAAAGCTTTTAGCTAACTCCTCATACTTTTAGAAAGCACCCAGCCATTAAGTAAAATCAACTAACTATATAACTAAGTAGAGTCAGTCTCTTAAAAGAGACTAATAATTTACTTTTAAAATTGAATGACAAAATCCTAAGTTTTCATAACTGCTTTGATTATTTGCAATGGCATCTTTATTTTCCAACAACTTTATTATAGAAACAATAAGGGAGTCTCACATCTACAAAGCCACGCTCTACCTCCATTTATGTGCAATATTTATTATGTATTATATATATATGTTTCTTTTCAAGCACTTACTTCTGTTCTGTCAATAAATATGGTAATCTATTTCTCTTTCATTTTAATTCAGAATATTTTGATTAACAAATTAAGCACCCTCAAAGTTACTAGAAAAACAAACAAAAGAACCTGAAAGAACATACAGACAGCCAAGGAAAGTGAGCACCTGGGGAGCCAAAATGAAAATCAATCCAAGTTAAATTAAAAAATTTGAGAAATTGTTGGGTCAGAAAGAAACAACTGGAATTTATGAATTTGTATGCTTCTCATTTAAGAGATACCTGAATGACAGCAGCAATTAACAGGGGAAAAATAAGAAGGAGTAAAACTTTTTTCCCAGGGAAAACAATCAACAGGCTAGATATACCAGATGCAGGAAGCCTTTAAAATGTCTTAATGGGTCACTAGACCCACCAAACACATAGAGATTAAACAGAAATGTTAAAAATAGATAATGATCTAGAGAAGAATTACACTTTTCTACCTTCTGATTGAAGCATAAATTACTAACTCAATCTATTGTTCTTTTTCAGTACAAAAACACAGCATCAGAGAAAATTATTATTATTCTTTAAAAGGAGTGAAGTATTCTATTGGTACTTGTGAAGTTCAAGCACCTCATAGCAAAGTGGATAAGGAAAGAGAATCAGAACATCTCACTGAATGCTGGACTTACACTAGAGAACTCACACATAGCCAATACTTCTACTAAGTCTTCCTGGCAAATTTCTTGCATTTAAAACAGAGCTCTACAAAATCTAGGTTACCATGATCTTATAAGAACTAATGAGCATAGATTTTGGAAAGCAAGATCATTATCTTCTTAAGAGTCTTGGAATGGCTCCATAATATAAAACAGAACCATTTCCCATAATTTATTAAGACTTCTGAAATGCCTCCAGCAAAGACTGCCCAGAAGGAAGAAACTAAGAAAGAAACTAAGCAGTCTTAGTTTTTTCTCAGACAAAAAAAAAAAAAAAAAGAGACAAAGAGAGTTTGGGGGGATAGTGGGGAGACAGAAGAACAAAAGGGAGAAAAAGAACCCCATGCTTTGGAAATTTAAAGGGGTCATGGGGTGGGATAAAAACCTATTCTGCCCATATCCCCTGCAATACTATAATTCATCACTATTAAAAGCATTATGTGGAATAATAATGCTTTCTCTTCTCTGAAGAGAAAGACAGAAAACCTCGATCACACAAAAATGATGATTCTGTTGATAACTTTAAATTTCTGGGTCAATTTCATACAACATTTCAAAATATACATATTGTAAGACATTACAGGGCTCTCACAAGCCAAACTGACTTGCCGTCCTTAATGCTGCGCTCTTATCTACCTTACACAGTACACACAATGAAATGTCACTTTCGGACCTCATCTTCCTGTAGCTTGCAGTTTTCCCCATTTCAGTATGGTTAAATTACATTTTTATTTCCACACCATACCTGAAAACCTAAAGTTCTTTTTTCATTAATACTAATGTCCTCAATTTTCAACAAGTTATTCCTTCTTACTTTGTTTTAGGACTATATAATTAGGTAAGAAATACACACATGCGCAAGTGTAGGCTCTATGCTAGCCAAGGCTTTACAAAAAAAATCACAGGATGGGTCAGGTTGGAAGGGACCACAGGGGGTCATCTGGTCCAACCTCCCGTTTGAAGCAGGGTCATCCCAGAGTGCATGGCACAGGACTGTGTCCAGATGGTGCTTGAGTATCTCCAGTGAGGGAGACTCCACACCCTCTCTGAGCAATCTGTTCCAGCGCATGGTCATCTGCACTGTAAAGCTCTTCCTCATGTTCAGGGGGAACTTCTTGTGCATCAGGTTCTGCCCACTGCCTCTCGTCCTACTGCTGGGCACAGTGGAGCAGAGCCTGCAGAGGAGGGCGTAAGTGGCCCGAAGTTTAGAGTCCGACTAGCTGAGGGTGAAAGGCCGACACCCCTCTGCAATTCCTGGCCAGCACCCTTCGGTGTCTGATGGCCTTGGGCTGCGCTGGCTTCGGACTGGCTTACACCGCTGGTATTGGGGAGGAACGGAGCTGACCATTTCCCGGGGGTTAAACGTCGGTTTATTGAAGGTGTTGCGGGATCCAAACGCGGGGAAACCAACCGGGAAAAAGTCTTTTCAATAGGGGGTGAAACAGGATTATAAAGGAGGGGGGTGGGTACAGGCGGAACCAATCGGGAAAGGTGAGGGGATGAACTTCACAGAACTGACACTCCATGGAGACCAATAATCAAAAGGTAAAGGAGGTGTCCTGGGACCCCAGCCAACCACCATCTCCAGAGAGGAGAAGGTTCTCGAAACCTGGGAGGAGAAGGGGGTGATTGACTGGACCCAGGGAGGAAACAACTTTCACTTATAAGGGAAACCAGGGGAGGAGCAATTACATACGGCAACTATGAATAGCGGTTACTATAGCAACTTAGCTGACAGGGTAGCAGTGGCGGGAAAAACTGGGGGAACGAAACCATTTTACACATAATAGGGGAGAACAATACATAAATTGGGGGAATAACACAAGGAACTTAACAGCACACTACAACAAGAGCCTGCAAGCATTCTCTTGGCACTGTCCCTTTCACACCCATACACACACATGAGGAAGGCGAAATGCGTCCTGTGACCCCGCACATGAAATAAACAGGGCCAGGAGACTTCTTCTCCTTTTTAATGCCTTTATTAAAAGTGATCAGCTCAGGATTGGGCGGCTCGGCAGGGCTGCAGTCCCCGTCGCGTCTCCCAAGGCGACTCAGAGGAGGAGGATATGCGCAGCTCCGTCCACTAGGGGCAGAGCCGGGGGACTGGGTCCTCGTGGGAGCCTTTAGGGCGTGGTGTCCCCGTCAAATCTTGCTTTCTCAGCGTGGTCCCCCTCAGTCTCGGCGCTGCGAACGACTCCCATGGTCAGGGCGAGAGGGACTCCGCATCTCTGCAGGCTCAGCACTTGGCTCCTCACGTCCGGACATCACTTTTGTTATGAACAAAAATTCAGTTAATATTTTTTTGTGAGAAAGAGTTACAGGGACGCAGCCAGGTCTCTGTCTCTGCCAAAGTTCTTAGTGTTTTGTCTTGGTAATCACGGGTCGTTAGAGCTTATCTCCTCTTTTGTATTAGTAAAAGCCCTGGCTGGGTGCGGTAGATTGCCCTTCCCCGAGGCTGTGCTCTCTTCCAACATAGGGAAGACACCTGAGAGGGTGGGGGGGGTTATGCAAAGTGACTCCAAAGTCCAGAATGCTTTGTGGGACCCCGACTCGAAATGCAACGAGAAAACCCCAAAAACAACGAGCCAAATAAGAATTGAGAGACTAAAATGATGTCTGGACATGAGGAGCCAAGTGCTGAGCCTGCAGAGATGCGGAGCCCCTCTCGCCCTGAGCAGAGAGTCGTCCCAACGCCGGGACTAGCCACCTGGGAAGTTCAAAGGATCAACACCTGACGGGGACATCATGCCCTAGAGGCTCCCACGAGGACCGGATCCCCTGGCTCTGCCCCTAGTGGACGGAGCTGCGCATATCCTCCTCCTCTGCATCGCCCTGGTAGCCCTGCCGGGACGCCCAATCCTGAGCTGATCACTTTTAATAAAGGCATTATAAAGGAGAAGAAGTCTCCTGGCCCTGTTAATTTCAGCTGGGGCATCGTCCGGGATAGCCACGCCGCAAGAAGACTCAAGACTGGCCATCTTGGACTTCAGGACAGCTGGCTACCAGGACCAGAGGGATCAGCTCAGGAGCAGCGACGCAGAGGAGCACC